TTCTCCCTTTTGTTGCCTTGCCTCTCCTTTGCAAGGAGTCCCAGGCCCCACCACAGTGGCATATTCTGTCCCTGCCCTTCCTCTCCCACTCCAGTGCGTGGCAATAGAGTAGCTGGTAAGAGCAGGGGTCTGCCCAGCCCGATATGGTCAGTGGGGTAATGCTTCTGTAAGCTTGGGGTGAGCTTTGTGTGCCAGGCTGAAGCCCTCAGATGCTACGGAGAGCTACAGGTCCAGGCAGTGACTAGTGGCTGCTTGGCACGTGGCTCCTTGCCATGGAGTTTGGAGAGAGGCTTAGGTTCCCTGCAGGCTGCCTGCCCCACAAAGCAGTAGGTGCAGTTTGTGCCCCCACTGGGACAGACATATGGACTGAGACCCTGTCTTCAAACTCTCTCTGTGAGACCCCAGTCGTGGGATCCAAGGCCTGCAGATTCCCCGGGCTTGCAGGCTTGCCTGTGCCAGGTTCTCCTCTCTGTCTCTGTTGCAATGCTCTTTGTGTTTCGTGCTTCCTCTTTTCCTCAAGCTCTTCATATGGGAGAGGGAATTTGTCTTGAGCTCCAGCTGCAGGTGGTACATCACGGGGGATTTGGGATGACAGGCTGAGCAGGACATGTGGGAGCCTTAGCTTTACAGTGTTGCTGTGGTTCCCCTCCAAAAACAAGCCCACACTCTCAGCATGCTCCTCTCTTAGCTAGGAGATTTTACCTGCACAGCCCACAGGAGCCAGGCATCCTCTGGACCACGGGAAATTTTAGCTTCCCATGTGTCCAGGTCAGGGCTGTCCAGCTTCCCCTCAGGCTCTGCAGCCTGCCTTCATGCAGGTGGCATCTCAGGCCCTTGCACCTCTGCTGCTGACAGGACCCTGCCCCACCACACACCATCCTGCTCACCAGGACCCTGCCCCACCACACACCATCCTGCTCACCAGGACCCTGCCCCACCACACACCATCCTGCTCACCAGGACCCTGCCCCACCACACACCATCCTGCTCACCAGGACCCTGCCCCACCACACACCATCCTGCTCACCAGGACCCTGCCCCACCACACACCATCCTGCTCACCAGGACCCTGCCCCACCACACACCATCCTGCTCACCAGGACCCTGCCCCACCACACACCATCCTGCTCACCAGGACCCTGCCCCACCACACACCATCCTGCTCACCAGGACCCTGCCCCACCACACACCATCCTGCTCACCAGGACCCTGCCCCACCACACACCATCCTGCTCACCAGGACCCTGCCCCACCACACACCATCCTGCTCACCAGGACCCTGCCCCACCACACACCATCCTGCTCACCAGGACCCTGCCCCACCACACACCATCCTGCTCACCAGGACCCTGCCCCACCACACACCCGTGCTGGGGGCAGTTCTGATTTCTAGGAGATAGGCAGGAGCAGGCAACCCTGGAGGGGCAGGCACCACAGAGAGTGTGCTGCAGTCAGAAGGGTGGCAAAGGGAAGGGTTCCACAGACACAGCCACTCGAGGCTTTTGAGGGGTTACTTGGCAGCCTCCCAGCTTAGGACAGAAGGAAAGGTTTTGGTAGGGTGGATGGGGAGCCCGTTCCTTAGGAGGGTGTCAGTACCTTGCACTGGACATCCCTTTGGGAGGCTGAGGAGGGTGTCTCAGTGGGCTTTGGAGTCAGAGCTCTCAGGGTGGCTGGTGGGAAGGGATGGGGAGCTCTCAGCCCAGTCAGCAGTCACTGCCCCATTGCCAGCACGGCCTCTCTCCTGGAACGCTGGTGGGAGAGGGGACAGACCCTGCAGGACTGCTGCAGAGGAGCAGCTGGAGGAAGGGGGGATGAAGAGACTTCTCCTGGCAGTGGTGGGGAAGGGCAGCCTGGCAGTCCAGCCGTGCAGCCAGGGCTCAGCTCTCCGGCCCCAGCAGCCAGGCACTGAGAAAGGGGCTCGGGTAATCTCTCCTTAGCATTTTCCTACCCAGGCAGTCAATGACTTGGCATTTTGGCAGCATTTGTCTGGACTAGCAGCCCAGATTGTTTAGGAAGTTTTTCCTTTAGATCTTTATCTCAACTTTGTCCTTAACAGAGACCCCTTCAGACTCCTGCCAGGACAAATGGGAAGGGGCTCAGACATGTTCCTCTACACTCTTGAATTTCATGCCCCATGTCCCAGTACTTACTGGCTCTTCTCACCTGTCCCACACGTCCACCTTTCCTCTCCCTCTCCCCACTTCCATGTCAAATTTCTCTCTTTCATTCCTCTCTTGCCAGAGGCCCCATTCACCCAGACAGGTCTCTCCATCTACAGGTTTCCAGCAGTTAGTGTGGTCTGTGGTGGGAGCCACAGGCAAACAGGAGTAGGCCAACATCCAAGGCCTGACTGGTGCTCTCCCCCTGCCACCCCACTGCTGCAAGCCCCAGGAGCTGTGCCCCATCACACGCCCTGGTTGGAGGCTGCTCTGCTGCTGTCTGTCGAGTGCCTTGAGGTTGCTGGGCACAGTTTCAGGGTGCCCAGTCACCCACCCAAAGCTGCACTTGCAGCCATGACTTTACACCACACTGACACCAAAATATCACCAGGGTCTTTTGAAGGAGGACAGTGACACTCAGCCCGTGTGCACCATTCTCCCGTCCCTGCCCTGACTTCTTCACCTGCCCAGGGCATCCCAGAGGGCTGGGCTGGGAAGCTGCTCGCTCCCAGGGGCTGCCAGTGCCCACAGACCCATGACCAAAGGAGGGTGACACAAGCCTTGGCTTCCAGAAGACCCTGTTTGGCAGGGGCTGGACAGCAGACAGGGAGCAGGCTCACACCTGTACAGCTCTGCATTGTGCCTTGTGTACCTTTCCCTCTTGTCTCTGTTTCTAGAGGTATCCCCAGCTTCGTCCAGCTCTGGGAATTTCAGCCAGTTCACACCAGACTCAGCCACCAGCCCACATTCGGCATCCTCATCCCCACAGCCTGCGGCTGAGCCTCAGAAGGGCAGAGAGGATGGTGTGGGGGGAGTGAGGAAGGCCAAGAGCCGCACAGCCTTCTCCCAGGAGCAGCTGCAGACCCTCCACCAGCGCTTCCAGAGCCAGAAGTACCTCAGCCCCCAGCAGATCCGGGAGCTGGCTGCTGCCCTGGGGCTCACCTACAAGCAGGTGAGTACAGACACTGACCCCTGGTATAGCTGGCACACAGCTACTGAGTGGCCACCTAAGGCAGGGACAGGATGGCGAGATGAGTCCCCAGCAGCAGGAAGCAGAGGCAAAGGTGCTAGCTAACAGTTGCTCCCCTGCCTACCCATGCCCAGAGCTCAGAGGGCTTCTGGGGGAGAGGAGAGTTGGCGGCACCTCATTGGGGCCTCCCCAGTGAGGAGTCAGTTAAGGGTACTGCTGCCAACACTTGTAGTAGAACTGCAGACACAGTGATGAATATTTTGTTTGCCACAAACAATCTCTACCCTGGGCTTGAGAGCACTTCACAGACTTTCAGACTTTTTCCATGCACTGATGAACTTTACAGATGCCCTGGCGTGCCTCAGTTCTCTCAGTCTCGGGGGTGCAACATGCTGAAAGCTATTGCTAATGTTTCACAGGGCTAATCTGGTCCAGGCTCTAATAATGCCCCACACTCAGCACCATCTGCCTGCTTCACACCTGCTTGCCTCTCCACGTAGTTGCTGCCAGGTTCACACACTGCACCCCTCTGGGGTTTCTGCTGTCTCCAGGCAGGCTGTGTGCAGTGAAATGGTGCTGGCTCAAGTGCCTTCCAAAAGCAGAGGTTACAAGTCCAAAATCTGCCTAGAATTTGGATCTTGGAGCTGGGCGCGGTGGCCTGGACGCCCCAGGACTAAGACACTGATGTATGTGTTGTAGGTGCCCACTGCAGCACGCAGCAGCTGGACTGCTCCTGTCAGGAGACACCCACGGGACAATCTGCTCGTTCCCTCAAGCCACGTCCCTGCAGAGGCTGTTGTCACAGCAAAGACACAGCCCTTGGGGACAGGGCTCTGGAATTCACCCCAGCAAGGAGCCTTGAGGAGCCTGGGAAGTGCTGGCTGCGAGGAGCAAGCCTCTCCCTCCTCTGCTCACAGCCCTGCACAACAGTGTCTTAGTTTTGCTGTGGCACAGGGAGCTCGTAGAGCCCCGGGTGGGTCTAACTTCACCCGTGACTGGAGTGAGTCAATCTGTCCCAGCTACGAGGGTCCCCAGAACATAATGCCACCCCCTCCCGTGCAGATGCAGCAGCCACCTGCTGGGGCTGCCAGACAGGCATCTCCCCTTGGCCCCGGCCCCGGGGAGCCCTCAGCTCTCTTTATCTGCCCTGCCCATTTATCTAGGCCATCTGGTCACTCTCCCCCTGGTTCTTCCTGCTCCCGAGTCTGACGTTTGCCTTTTCCTCCGCTTTGCTGATGCTCTCTCTGCTCTCCCCTCTGCACCCAGGTGAAGACTTGGTTCCAGAACCGGCGGATGAAGCTGAAGAGGTGCCAGAAGCACAGCCTGTGGGGCGAGCGGGCGCAGTGCCTCATGCAGGTGGGGGCTCAGCCTGGCCCCTCTCTGGACGGGCAGCTGTGATGTTTCCTCTGGGGGGCAAGGGAAGCTCAGCAGTCCCAGCGTGCCCTCCCCGGCTGCTCAGTGCAGGGGCACTGACCTGCTGGGAACGTGCTGCGGG